CTTTCAAATGGCCATCCGAGAGATAGTTCATTTATTTTCTTGAAAGTTTTGTTTACTTTTTTTAGCAATGTAACTATCATTCAAAACCCAAGAACTCCACTATTTACACTCCTCCGGCAGTCAGTCAGTTTATTTTTGAGTTATTGAAAGATAAAAGGGACAGTATTTGAGATTGACGCAGCACTTATAATACGGGTAGTTTTATTTTAGATCCTTGCTGTGGAAAAGGAAATTTATTAGAACCTTGAAAAACCAAAGGAGACTATTTATGGAATGGAGTTTATCCAGTAGTAGGAATAGATTTAGATCCTAATTCTTCCGCAGATTGAAAAACTAACTTTCTTTCCTTAACTCAAACTGATTTTTATCAGAAGTTTAAGAAACCTCAACTAGTCCTCTGCAATCCTCCTTTTAATGGAATGAAATCTAAATTGGCTCCGGAAGTATGACTAGACAAAATTCTGGAATTATTTGGTAAAGAAATTCCATTAGTTCTTTTCGCTCCCATCGGTTTAAGAATTTGTAATGATCTGAAAAGTAAAAGGTGGAATAAGTGAACTAATGGCACTTATCCGGCTATTAGTAGCATTGTTAGTTTACCCCGAACTATTTTTCCCAATACCGAATTCCACTCAGAGATCTTAATTTTCAACATTAAAGGATTAGAACCCCATTATTTTTATCAACCAAATTATGAATAACCCAGAAAATAAGCTAGAATTAACCTTAAAAATAAAAATCCACAAACTCAGAGAAATTATTGAAAATTTAGCCGACCTGGAACAAAAAGAAAGCAATCAACAAGCCGGGAATATGGCTTACCTTTTAAAAATGATAACCGACACATTCGAAGATGTCGAACAACGATTAACTAAATTAGAAAAAAAGCCCGCAACCAAATAATTATGAAATCAAGTAATTTAATAAGATTGAGATCACAAATAAAACATTTGGAGGCACTGAAACAAACCTTACTTTCTTCTGAAAGTGGTGTTGGTATAAGTGCTAAATCCGTAGGAATAGTTTTAGAGAGAATGATCGAAGCATTGTAAGAAATAACCGAATATTTAGAAAAAAATCAGTCCCATGAAATTTAAATACAACTACTTAGAAAATAAACTGTGAAAACTAGACGGAGAATATTCCTATGAAGTTTCAGAAAATAATCGTTTTCATACGCAAAAGGGAACTTATGGCAGTGATGGTTGACTTTTAGGAAATCAAACTAGAATAATTTTTACGGTTGATCAGGCTCGTTGGCAAGTTTATTACCAAATAGGAATAGTTGCTTATCAAAAAGCTTTGGAAATTCCTCCTAATGGAGAAATAATTTTTGCATTTACAGAATCAGACCTAATTAATCATGCATAATCCACTTTACATAATCTCCTCTTTTGTCAACTTATTAGCTCTAATTCACTACTTTTACCCTAATAAGTTTACAAAATCTCTCATCTAAAAGTTTACAAAAATGAAAAGAACGCAAGAACAAGTTTTAACTTTTACTGAATTATCTGCTCTCGGTCAAATTCCTTCCCATCCATCTTTACCCAAAAAGAATGATAAGTTATTAGAATGTATTCTTTTAATGGCTTATTTAGGCTTACGAGTTAGTGAAAGCATTAATTTCACTTGGCAGCAAGTAAAGGTTGAAAACAAGGAAGCCTTTGTGGTCTTAGGAAAAGGCCAGAAGCAAAGATTAGTTTTTAATTTATTGAATAATAGTTACATTGCTAAAAAAAGTAAACAAAACTTTCAAGAAAATAAATGAACTATCTCTCGGATGGCCATTTGAAAGTATTTACAGAAAAAAAGTCAAGACTTAAAACTTAACTGAACGATTACTCCCCATACTCTGCGGCGTTCTTTTGCTAGTATCTTACAGTATGATTTAAATTTGGAAGCTCCAGTAATTCAACAATTATTAGGTCATTCTCACTTTGCTACTACGGAAAGATATTTAAAAAAAGATCCGCGGTTTTTATTAACTAACTTGCAAAGGAGAGGCTTTCTCATTTAACCAAATATGTCGCCAAAAAGAAAATTACATCAATTAATCGGAACTATTGAAAATGCTTACCAAGGAATCAGTAAAAGAAAAGAACTTTTTTATTTCTTAAATATTGAGCAAGAAACTATTTTGGCAACTAAACGAGAAACTATTTATGCTTTTTACAATCTAACTAGTAAAGAATTTTGAAAAGTCTTAGAAAACTATACTTTTGAAAACAAAAAATATTCTTTTTGGTGTGAAAAAAGAACGCGAGGATGGAGATTAAAAGAAATCAAGGAATTGTAAAAATTTATTAAAATGATTAAATCTTTTAGAGAAAAGCATACTAAAATACTGTGAAAAGAAAAGACTGCTCGTCGCTGAAAAAACATCCAAGAAGTTGCTTTAAGGAAATTAGATCAATTAAATAAAGCCAAAAGTTTGTTCGATTTAACTTCTCCTCCTCGCAATTGTTTAGAAACTTTACGCGGAGCATGAAAAGGTTATCACAGTATTCGCATTAATGATCAGTGAAGAATAATTTTTATTTGAGAAAAAAGTAACGCTTACGAAGTAGCGATTAAAGATTATCACTAAAATTACTTTAACTATGACTAAAAAGCCAGTTATTCATCATCCCGGTAAAATACTAAGGGAAGAATTTTTGCTTCCAACTCAAATTAGCCCTCTTAAATTAGCTCGTAATATTAATGTTTCCAGTAAAGAAATCAAAGAAGTTATTAATGAACAAAGAGATTTAACCAAGGATGTAGCTACTCGGTTAGCATTATATTTTGATACTGCGCCAACTTTTTGAATCAACTTACAAAGTAATTATGATGAAGAACAAGTAGCAAAGTTTCTATTTAAAAATTTAAAAAAAGAAATTCAGCCACTTGCTACTACTTAATTTTCTCGCTAAGTATTCTTTCATTCAAACGTTATTTATTGCCTTTTAATAAACTAACCAATTTCTTTCTTTTTTTTAGTTAATTAAATGAATAAGGAGAATTATTTTTTCACTAATTTTAGCAAATTTGAATATTTTTAACCTTTTCAAATTTAACACTTTTCAAATTTCTTAAATGGTTAGCTTTATATTCTTCCTTGGAGGAATCACGCACGTGATTCTCCGCCGCTCTTTTTGCTCCTGACCCAAAATGAAAGTATGATGAATGATCACGGTGCTAACTTAATCATTGACTATCCAGTTAAACCTAAAAAAAAGAAACCAGCTAAACCGATCATTTATCATTTTTAAATAGAAAATATGATTAGCAAACAACTCCTTAAACAATCCTATCAAATCGTGCAACAAGACTTATTAACTACTTTTCAAAAGATGAAAAATGGTGATAAGATTAGATTACCTAACATTGGAATTTTTGAAAAGAAATTTAAGCAAGGTAAATCTTGTTTACCCGAAAGTTTTGGTAAAAAGTATACTGCTTACTGAGTCGGATTTAAACAGAGCCAAGTGTTAAAGAGAAATTTAAATAATTAAAAATGGAACTACTCCAAAAAGAAAATATTTTAATTGCCGTGGCCGTAGTTTGTGTGCTGCTTTACTGAAAAGGTAAAAAAATTAACGAGAATCAACAAACTCAAGAATGAATCAACTGATTACCAATTGCCGGAGGTTTAGCCTTTGGTTTAAACACTCTAATTACTTTAACTAAATAAAAAAATGAATCAAGAAAATTTAAATGATAACCAGTTAGAAAATACCTTAGAAAGTCCTGCGGAAACTAAATCAGAAAACTCCCTCTTGGGAGCCTTATCGAAATGTCTAACTTTTGCCCCCCTGATGTTAGAACAGTTTACCGGACAAAAAGTTCCACAGATGAGTGGCACGATGGCTGAGATCCAGCAAGGAGTTATTCAATTAACCGCTAACTTGCAGAAAGTTATTAACAATCAAAATAAGATTTGACAAAAACTAACTAGTTTAGAAAATAATGCCCAGCAAAAGTTAGTTAATCTCACCAACAAAATTGATAAAATTAGCACCGTTAGGCTAACTAGTGAACGCGAAAGAAAACAGATTGAGTATAATCCAAAACACCTAGAAAACCAAGAATACGAATAATATGAACTTCCTCGGTATCGATTTAAAACCTTTAACTACTGAAATCTCCAAATTCAGTCAAGGTCAACAACAAATTATCACTCTTTTAAAAGAGAATAATCAATTACAAAAACAAATTCTTAGCCAGTTAGGAGGCAAGGTTGAATAAGCCAACCTTCCTACTTGCTAAGGGTTTAACTAAGGAGTTAGAATTATTCTGCTCTTTATTTAAGCTTACTAGAAGAAAACTGTCAACAGTTTGAACTAGAAGTTTTACCTTACTAGAATAAATTTGCAAGCCAAATTTAACTAGAAGATAACAGTTGATTAGAATCCCACTAGCAACTTTAAAAATTATCCTTCCTAGAACCCCACTAGAATTTAACCTGAAAATCTAGAAAACAAACTAGAAATTCCACCCAAAACCCCTTATTTTTACTGATTAAAAAATATGCCCAACATTTTAACTAACTCTAAAATTCAACCAAAAGAAAAAAATAGTTCTTTTGAAAGAAGTAATTTCTTGAGTAAAGGTGATTTAATAACTACTTTTTCTTACGGAGTGGTAGCGATATTTGTAGCGGTTGCAGTCTGAGGAGTAAGTGCTTCTTTTATCAAACAAATTAATAAAAATTAAACCCTCTATGTTACCAAAAGCAAAAAATAACCATAACTGAAAATCCTATGTGGACTGGTGACCAACTTATCTAATTTTAGGAATAAGTTTAGCCCATTTCGTGGAAAAAACTGGGATCATCACCCAACTAATTAACAAATTATTTACTAAAAAAGAAGCGGAGTAATCAACTATATTGAGAAATTAACCCATGGTCAACTGAAAAGACTATTTACCCGATTTAAAAGGAGCCTTAACCGGCTTTTATGAAGAAAGTTTAAAAACCACGGTTGAAAGCAAAACCCAAGAATTTAAAAACCTCTTAGAGAGAAATATCGCTTATGGACAGCAAACTCAACAAGCCTTAGTGGCGATTGCCTTAGGAATCTTCCTATTACTCTTAATTGCTTATTT